TGAGCGTTGGAAGGACGGGGACAAGCCACTCTCAGGAGAAACGGTCCCGTCCAGAGGATTCGCCTCATGATGCTTTGTGCTGCCTAGGGGTGTGCTGCCTGGTCAGCAGCAGACGGTGTATTGCCGGGGGGGAACCCTCTAAAAACTGAAGACCCCTGAAACAGCCGCGGGATCCGGATGTAGGAAGCATGTTTTTGCAATAGGCACCCCACTTACAACAGCAGGTCCAAAATTAGATGAAACAAAACGATCGTCTCATTTCAGCAATCCGGGCACATCATGGGTACCGGAAAAAGCCGCTACTTCAGCCACACCCGGTTTTGCATGCACCAGCGCAGTGGACTCACAGACAACCAAGCAAACAAACAAACAAGCAAACAAACAAATTCAAATAACAAAGAAAGAAAGAAAGAAAGGACGGAAGGAAGGCAGGAAGGAAGATACAAAGAAAGAAACAGACAGACAGAGACAGACGGGCAAGCAGGCAAGCAAGTAAACAACCGGCCGCAGGCCAAGGGATACTCAGGTTCCCCACAGTACCCCTCGTTTCCCCACTTACACGCCCTCTGCAACCTTCAGCGGGCAGAACAACAGATTATGGAAGCTGCTTTCAAGGATTTTCCTCTTTTGTTTTGCGCCCCAATGCACTGAAGCAGGGTGCTTGGGGCACGTACCGATGCCAAGAAAAAGCACATGAACGACGGACCACATATTTGGCATATATCGTTTCTGCCTCTCCTATTTGATGGTAGCCCACGTCCCAACAACATGGAACCGGGGGAAAAAGAACTTGGAATTCATGAGTTTCTCTTGGATCCCTTTGCCCTGTGGGTTTCCGTGGGCCGAGATGGGGAGCTGGCCTGTAGGGTTGGCTGCAAGACTTGGTAGAATCCGGGCCCTAGGCCCAGGCAATGTTGAAACGTCTTGCTTCAGTGTGACATGGTGTTTCCCCTGTGAGGGTATCCTTGATCTTCCAGGGCCCGGAAAAAGATTGCCCTTTGGCCGATTTTCCTTTTGGAACCCAGAGCAAAATCAAGAAGGACCCTGCCTTGCGGGCCCTTCAAGGACCAAGGAAAGGGTCTTAGGGTTTAGGGCGTGTCCGCTCCATACCGATGTTTGAGACCACTTCTCGATATAGCCTTTTGCGCACCAGAAGGTGGTTTTTGAGAATCTCAAACAAATCGTCAGGTACCCCTTGGTTGAAGATGAGTTTCTCATCTTGCTTAGTTCCAACTCCTTGACATTGAGTTCTTGCTGTTCACATGATTGTTTCATCAGTGTGAGAGCTAAGTTTGTCATCTTGTTCAATCGAACTCCTTGGACTTGAGCTACTTAAGTTTGTCATCTTGTTTAAATCCAACTCTACTTGGGTGACCGTTCAATTTTGCAAGTGGCCCCGAAACCATCCAAAACAAGCTACATGATGTATAAGTACTTGGGTGACCCTTCCGGTGCGAGAGCATCGGAGAGAATCGGACTGGAGGAGAGCCCGGACGAGCAACGGAGGCTCCAGAAGCTAGCCTTCCGAGCACGCGAGGCCCGGGGGTTCTCGGTGTTGTTGTTTTTTTGCTTCGGGGCCTTCGTCTTTTTGCGAGATTCGAGGAGAGCCCGCCAAAAATTGGGCATCTTGAAGGGGTGGCCTCAAAGAAAAGAGAAGCACATGTGTTGACCCCTGATGCGGAGGGGGGGGGGAGTTTGCAAATCGCCAAGTTACAAGGGTGTTCATTACCAGAATTGGACGTGGCATGAGGGTCGATTCCCATCATGGGCGTTGGAAAGAGCAACAAATCAGGTTCCCCTCAATTGGTGGCTTGGAGCCCGGTGGCTCGTTGAGGGTAAATGGGAGAGAAAAACTACGGGGAAGCTGACCCAAAGCTGTTCCATGAAGGGGGGTCTAAATATGAAACACACTTAGACCTACACTTTATGTGGGCCAAGAACTTGGCCCAATGCTCAGGAATTGAGGTTAGGACGCAGTTCGTTTGACTGATGGCTTTGCAAACAGGGCCTGACTCCCATAAAAACCATAGGCGTCCCTTTTAGGCTAGTTTGTTAGATATAGGTGGGTGTCACTCTTTTAGATGTGTTTTCATTCCATTTACCAGCCATCTATTTTTGCGTTTGGGTCACCTATGATCAAACCGTGTTTCAATTTTAGGGCCCAGAGATCTAGCTGTTGCAACACCTGCCACCCCGTCACACAACCCCTGGCCCGAAATGGCGTATTTAGGCCCATAGTACCACAGGTGACGTGCTGGGCGGATCTCCCTCTTTGAATCTAGGGACCTTTGGCTTGGGAAGCCAAGGCCCATTTGGAGAACTTCCCTTCCTGGGTTTTTAACGCGGTTCCTTAGAGGATCCTGGAGTTCGGCTGCTTAAAGGCGGCGTTTGGACGGGCCTAAGGGCCATGTAAGGCTCATTGGAATTTGGGGTTCCAAACTAGGTTCCTTTTAACACCGTCCATACAAAGCCCCAAGACCCTTGGACCAAGCCTATCCTTTAACAGACCCTGCCCTGGGTCTCCACAACAGTTTTATATTTTTGGGTAGGCTCAATATTATATGAAAGAGCATCCTTCAGATCTTCCTTTCTGACCCCTTGTGGTTGAACCCAAGGGAAATTAACACCCCAAGCCGCTCCTTAGCTTTAGTTTTGAGCTCGGACCGTGGCAGACGAAAGGTTTGGCCAACTTGTTTTGGCCAATCCACTTCTTCAACATCCACAGCAAGTGAACCGCATTCCTTATCGAGAGTCCGTGCTCGATCTGTTTCTGCTGTCGGAACCCATTTGAGATCTGGCAAGTCTGTTTCGGGCCAACGCCTTTTAAGTGCGGAGCAACAAAAAGGACTTCTCACTTTGAGAACCCTCCCAAAAAATAAATAAATAAATGGCTTTTGTTTTTTTTTGTTCTACCAAAGTCAGCTTTCTGAGAGGTTAAAAGTCTAGGGGTACCTTATGGTATCTTTCCTTTCAAGGGCCGGTGTTTGAAAAGAACAACGGCTAAAACAAATGGAAATGGAATCAACCGGCCTAGAAAAGGGGAACCTCCCCCCCCAGTTTAACACCCCATGGCACGGGGCTATGTTGGCCTCCAGCTCCCAGCTCAGCCGGCGGCTCGGCCAAAGCGCAGGTCCGGCAGCTCTTGCGCCCCCAGATGCGATCCGAGGAGGAGCTCGCGGAGGCATCGGCATCCGTCGGATCCGTCGGATCCGTGGATCGCGCGGCAGGTCGTTCGCGCGGCTGGGGCGAGGGGTGGCTGTGTGGAGCGGGAGGAACCTGCGGCTAGGTCCCCAGCTAGGCGCCCTGTTACCAACTTTTTTGGGGGAGGGTTCCCTAGAATGACGGGTGGAGCGGGAAACCCCCAACTAAGTGCCCTTTCTCACCGTTTCTTTTTTGGTTGGGAGGGGAACCCCCTACTAGAGTAGACTGCAGAAAAAAAGTTGGTACCCTTATTCTAAGCTCAGGACCTAGAAGTAGGGGCGGGCGTTGAAGAAAAAGACCGACTTAGGCTTTTTCTATCCAGAATAGGGTACTAAGTCTTGGGGAATCGAAAGTTATCAGTATTTACTATATGTATTACACACCATTTTGTTTGATTACCAAAAAGGGAACCCAAAAGGGGATGGCGTGTGTTTCATGACTTTGGTCCAAAAGGACATCGAAAGGGGATGTGTGTTGTTTAAGAGGTCCCCCCCCAGCCAGGAAGTCAACACGGCAAGTTGCATGTTTTCCCATCAGCAAGGCAATGAAGAGTCCCTTAACGCGGCTGGCTTTTGTGCGTGGTTTGGTGCGATAGTCTCCCCCGGGTTGGATTGGTTTCCCACCTGCCGTTACACTTGACTGCTATTGGGTTGGATCTTTAGACTTGAACTTTTTTTGAAATACAGGTGTTGTCCACTAACCCCCCCCCAAAAAAAGTTAAACACTTTTTGCAGGGGGGTCAACAGCAACCAAGTATACACGCGTGCTTGCCGTTGTGTTGGACTTGCAACTTCGGGGTTCCCTGGCTTGTCTTGGACTGGCTGGCCACCTGCCAGCCCGCGTCTGGACGCAGCGCTTGTCCGTCTGCTTGTTGCAATGCTTGCTGGTGGAAGAGCGTCTTCGTGGGGGGATTGGGGGGGAATGCCAACGAGGAGGGCTTGTTCAAAGGCGGGTGAAAAGGCAACGGCAGACGGTGCCAGCTTTCGGTCAGCCCTCTCTAAACTTATCTCTGCAGCCAATGTGTGCAACTAGTTCTGGCTTTTCTGGGGTTTAAATAAGCGGCATCCCGTAGCGAAGCCGGGGTGGTGGGATTTCAAAATCTTACTCTGCGAAACATATGCGTGTGTTTTTTAGGGGGCGCCCCAAAATTGTGGTTTTCCTTTAAGTCATCCTCTTGCAACCACGAAAGAGGTGCCCGGTCAAGGGATGCCCTTCTGGGTTGCATTCAACTCATTCATGACCACTCATCAGGCTGTGATGCAATGTTTGAAGAGGGGGGCTGTCATCCTGCGATGTTGACTGTGGAGTCCCGCTATTTACCAATTGTCGGCTGGCTCCAATTGAGAGGTTGCAAGCCCGTCTCTTTCTTGTGATGCGTGTTGCTTGCGAGGGAGAACATTGTATGATGCGCTACGAACAGAAGCATCTCGACAGCTGTTGTATCACTGGCGAATGTGTCCCATGCAAATGGAGCTGCCTTTTGTGGGGGGCACCCTCTTTGGGGTTGTTTCAGAAAGCCAAACCAAGAAGGCACGCGCATGGGAAATCAACGGGGCTTGATGTAGGACGCGTGGCTCCATCCCTCGTAAAAGCCACAGCAAAACAAGTAGGTGTCCAGCTGAATCCGTGGCCGTGGCCTACATCCAAACATGAACTGCACAAAGTAGCGCCAAAAGTTAAAAGTCATGGCCATGTAGTGCATCTCGGAGGCAGAAGGACATGGCCTGTACAATGGAACCAGGATGGCAGGTCATGAAGGCACTGCGAACAACCCCCGTAGCCTGGCTTGTACCAACCGCCAAAGACCAGTGTCTTCTGGCGCAGTCCGAGAACAGCTCGCCAAAAAAACCCGCTTGCGTTTGTTTTTCTGGCCACCTTTTTTCTTTCACTCACTTTTCTGCCCTCCACGTTTTCTCGCACTTGGGGCATTGCAGTCTTGCTTGCCGAACCACTCGTTCAGGGTTCATTGTCATACCACTGGCTCTGTACCGAACCACGGTGATGCGGGGGCACCTAAGTCTGGTCAATGTAAGGTCTTATGAGGATCTTATTGAAAGGGTCCTACGATTCTTCTTCTTTGTTTCTTGTGTTTGTCTTCTTCTTTTTTCTGCGCGGGCTTCGCATCCGCAGGTGGTGGCGCAAGTATCCCGCTGCTCTCACTTCCTCGCTTGGCGCCCCAGGGCTTGTTTTGTTCGTGCCCACCTTCAAAACAAGTATTTGAAAAGACTTGTCTTACCTTTTTAGTCCTTTGCCTTATTAGCGGTTCTCCAACTTTCCCCGAAGGTTTTCTTTTTGGCGCACGCGGCCGCGGAAAAACAAAAAAGAAAGAAAAAAAGACGAGTTTCAGGGCCTACAGGCCCGGGAACTCCTCAGTCCAAGCGAATCGACCTTTGGACCTTTGTTTTTTTTGCTTTGGTGGCTGCGACTTTTTAGTCATGACTAAAAAATAGTCAGTTCCTTCTGGCCATTTTTGAAGTGGCCCCAAAAGGCCGAAAAGGCGAAGCTTTGAGAAAATCAGGCCAGGGAGCACGGCTTTTTTTGTTCATTTCAGCCAGTGGGGAATGCCGCCTTCTTTTTTGGAAACCCGGCCATCGGACCGGAGCGCCTCAAAGGAGCCACCGTGCCACCTGGTTTTCAAATAGGTCTCCCAGCCAGTGGTGCCCTTTCTCATTTTTGGGTTGGGAGGGTTCCCCTAAAATAGACTAGAGAAAGGAAAGAAGTTTGTACCCTTATTCTAACCTCTGTACTGGAGGACATATTTTTTTCAGACGCATTTCTGGCTGAAAATCGCCAAGGTTGGAACCGCGCCGGAAGTTTGTTTCTTCTTGTGTTCGCCCCCGAGAAATTTGGTAGCTGTGAATGATCTGACAATTCTTTGGCCAACACACTTAGGGGCAAACCGAGTTCCTTTGCTTGGGGATTTCTGATCTCAGTTTGTGGAATTGTTTCAGAACTTGCAACCCGTTCAAATATATCGGCACTCATGATGTGTAAAAAACAACACATTCTGGTGTACACCCGTCATTTTTGCAAAACAGAAGTTGTTGTTTGGAAAACCAAAACAACAGTTTGGGTGTTACAATTGTAGTTAACACGCTCAGTGGTCCAAAGCCGGCCTTGTGACAACTCGACCTTTTGTTTCTCCCTTGTTTGGCCCAGTCTTAGTCATGTCCCCAAAACTTGCTTCCCGGCCATCCCCTTGGCTTTTTAGCCTTTTAGTGTTCAGTGGGAACTTCCATTTAACCCACTAAAAGTGAGGAACTCTTAGCGGGGGATCTGAACACGGACAGCCCAGAAAAGGTCCACCTGTTGTTTCCACCTCCTTTGGGCTCCAAAGCCGGCCTTTTGACAATTTTCGACCTTTTGTTTCTCCCTGTTCGAATTTTTTGGTCATGTCCCCAAAAGGTTCACCGGTTCTTTCCAGCTCCGCTGGGCCAAGCGCCGAGAATAGGCGGCGAAGTTTTGCGGCGCTCGATCCGATCGAGGCCGAGTCCCTGCCTCACGCCGCGGAGACCGTGGGCGTGCGGCCCAGCGGCCTCGTGTTTCAGGCGCGCGCAGTCGCGCGGGCTGTGAGGTCCGGGCCAAAGGGGTTGCCAAAGGGTGAATCAAACAACCTAAGCAGACTACCCCCCCAAAAAAACAAGAGAGTCGGAAAAGAAGAAGGAACAAAAGGATATGTGAGGGTCCAGGTTTATTACCTGTCTTGATGTGGATTTGTCCGAGTATTGGAATGGTTTCGACGATGCATTGGCAAAAAGTTTGTTTTGGATCACATGTTGGTATACATGTTGAGGTTTACGCGCGCAACGCACCCTTTGAAGAGCAGTTTGTGCATTGCTTGCTCGCTCATCGTAGCCGTAGCTCCATTTCATGAAATGGAGCCCGCCGTGAGGTCGTAAAGTCCCCAATATTCTGACACCGGAAGCAGGCCGTATCCATTTTTCTGTGCCGTTTAAGGGAACCCCCCTCGAACTGATAGCGGAGTCATCGGATTGACCTTCAATCCGGCCAAGGGTTTGGCAACCGGAGCTTTATCAGGCCGCCCTTGGTATGTGCTCATTGTGCGTTCGCAGTTCTCCAAAACATGCTGACATGTTCCTTTGCTTTGGCGCTTCCTGGCTTTTGGTCATGTTTTCTATCCAATCATTCAAGAGGCCTTCTGTTTGTGCGCTGTCTTTTCTTCTCTCCCCAACAGCTGAAAGCTAAGGGGTCTTTGCCCAAATAAGCTCCGGAGTGGTTTGGAGCAGATTTCAGGGAGGGTTCAAAGGAAGGTTTCGGGGCCGGGGATCTGAGGGCAAAATCATGAACCGTTCAGAAACCCTGAAAAACCGCGCGCGCGCGCGGTTCCTCTGTTGGAGACGCCCCTTCTGGGTTGGAAGGGAAACATACTGGACGAGATCCATTTCGCACCGTTCAGAAGCCCCGGGAATGAGTCGATTCCCCAACGTTACCAACAAACCTTCTTGTTTCAACCATGGTTTCATTCCGTGGTGCGAAATGGATTTTTCAACCATCCGCAGCACGGGTGTTTCTCGTACTGGGGGTCCCCTTGTTTCGCTGATTGAGGAAAACAAAAGAAACCAATTGAGGGGTCCCTAATTTGTGTTCGTGACTAAACAGCAGCGGCTGGGGATAGGGTGGATGCCCTAAATATTGCAAGTATGTAGGGAAACAAGTGATCCCCTGTAAATTCAACCAGGGTTTGCAGTAGGACACTTAGGGCATCCACCGTATCACCGGGTGGGTCAAAATCCAAATCGTAGCCTCAGTGAACATCCGATGCAATCCAACCACCAAAATAGGTTCTAAACTAAAATGGGTGAATTCACCTACCATTCAAAATGGGATCCCAAAACGATTTTGACCACCACAGCCACCTGAGCTTTTTGGTTTACTTGTTTTTTTTGGGCCTCCTCCGTATCACCCGAGCTTTTTTTTCCTCATTTTTTTACATTTTGTTTTCCTTGGTGGGCGGGCGATTTCGGACACGCTCCATGCGCTTCCGCTGCCTCGGCGCGCGCGGAGCATCGCCGACTCGCAGGCCTTGCTGCGCCGCGCGGGGCTGGGCCGCGCCAAGCCGGCGGCGGCTCGGATGGAAGAGAGGGATTGGGCGATGAGCGGCGCTCGCAGGCTACTCGCGTGTGCCGTTTTTTGGTAGGGAATTACTCTCTTTTCCGTTTTTGTTTTTTTTTTTGGGGGGGGGGGACCAAAAGGAAAAACACTTCTTTTGTTTGGGGGGGTCCCCCAAAAAAAGGCGCACCCCTTCTCAGTTGTCCAAAGCGGATCGGCCTTTTGACCTTTCGGTCTTCCAGGTTTGGTCGATTAGTCATGGCCCTTAAAGGGTAACCTTTGATTACGGGTCTTTTGGCATTTCAGTAATCAACTGGAAGCAAGGTGGCCTCAAAAAGAACGACATGAGCCATCCCGCGACTGTGGGTTTCTATCCGGGCCTGTGCAGGGTAACAACCCAGCTTAGTCCCAGGGTGTGTATTTCAGAGAGAAGAACGCGGCCCAGGGGGAGGAAGTTCATTCCGTTTGGATCATTGTGCCGACCAATATGGCCATTTGGCTCTGACTTTTCCCGAACAAACAATCTAGAGTTGCTTCCCTGCGGATTGACAACTCTAAAGCAATCCCGACCTGGTAGAGCCTACTGGTAGAAATCTGACATTTGTTCACCCGCAAGGGTACTCAAAACACATGGGGACCCAAACGTCAGGTTCCATGGTGTTTTGGTGGGGGGGCACATGGGGGCACCGTGCGCCGAGGTTGAGCTGGAGCCTGCCCTGGAGGCTTGAAAAGGGAGGCTCCAACCTTCTCGGGTTTGATCTGGGGTAGACCTGGGATACATTTTACATCTTACCAGTGACCCAAAGTGAAGCAAACAATAAAACATACATTCTATAACTGGGCCTAACTCTAATCATGTTATTTCAGGATGTAGATTTTTGTTCCCCAAGACTAATGCAGATGCCAGATGTGGCTGTGGGTCAAAAAGTAGTACCCAACATGGAGCCCTGGTAAATGGAAACATGGACTAGAAGCTGCGGTCTCCTGGTGATTTAATTTTGACCCATACCCACTAGAGAAATGATTTTGGGGACCCCCCCCCACCCCCCTCCGCCTTCCGGGGGATGCAGAATCCGCACCCGCCCTTCCGAACTTCCGGACCTGGGGGACACTTCAAGCACTAGATTTGGGTACCAGGCTATTTTACACGCAGGGTAGGCTACAGGGTTCCCCAGATGTATCCTGGTAGCCCAATCGTTGTTGTGAGTGACGTGCCACAACGGGGAGTGGAATTTTCCCTCCCATCCTGAACAGCCTAATTCAGGGACAAGGAGGTTGTGCTAGTGGCTCCGGCATCTTAATTGAATTGTTCCGTTGTAAAGTCCTTTAGTTTCTTTGGTTCTCGTTTCCCAGAGAAACTATCCAAACAAGGGTGCCTAGCTCACAAAGAGACACTGGCTTCCCTGAGAAGAAAAAAGATTAAAAAAAAAAAAAACATCCCTCCCCCCCTCATTTCAGGGCACCTGGAACCCTCAGCCGAGAAGCTCCCCCAGAATGCCGATTTTTCTCTTTTGGCTTCCCTTTAACTCCACCGAAGCAAGCACCAGCCTCAAAAAAAAACATCTCTCCAATGGGTACAAAATGCATATTTTTTTCATTAAAAAGAAGGTGTTCCCTACAAGCCTGAAAACCGGACACCCCCCGAGCCACCTTCGCTGATCCCTTGGCGCCAGGGGCGGGTGGAGAAGCTGGCGCTGGCAGCGGGGGAGCTGTGCCAGCTGCTGCGGGTGAAGGTGGAGGAGAGATTCTGCGCGGTCCTTGTGTGTGCGGGTGTTTTTTTTGGCTTCCCTCCCGGTTTTTGTTTTTTGGTTGTGTTTTTCTTTTGTTTGGGGGGGGGGGGAGGTTGAAAGGACAACCACAAGGACAATTTTGAGAGCCAAAAGCACGTCCTGCAACTTTGGGCCGGGCGCGTGCAAGATCCGGGGCCTGCGAAGCAGAGGTCAGGCTCAGAGTTCGCGGCTGGGCTTCTAGGTCCCCCAATTGGTGCCCGACCTCTCACCCGTGTCCTTTTTTTTTGGTTGGGAGGGGAACCCCCTAAAATGGACAGAAAAAGTTGGTACCCTTATTTTAACCTCTTTATAGTGGGGGACCTAGGCTTCATTTACCTGCAAGCAGGTAAAAGGCGTTGGATTCACTCAAGTCTTTGAAGCAGGGTGTTTTTCGCAGACAAGTGGGGCCCCCAAATTGAACGGGCCAATGGTGAGCAAAAACCTTGATGCATTTCCGCGTAAGATTTGCTTGTTTGCTTCGAAGCGGCTAGACTGGCGGCCACACATGTTCTTGATTTTGGCTGTTCTTGAACAGCATTTGGGGGGTCTCAAATGTGGCCGACAACCTCCCAAGACAGTGTAGTTGTGGTTCTTTTGCTTAAGGAGTTTTCGAGGGAACTCCTGGCAACATGTCTCACTTCCTGGGTTCCTGGGGAAGCTGCAAGACAAATCCCTCCTACCTGATCCTAGAAATCCTGTCCATTGGCACTTCCTGAGTGGATTGGCCGAAAAAATGTCCGAGCTTGCAAATTACCACTAACATGGTCTTCCCAAAAAGTTTGAAGTCCAGGAGCTGTATTGCTTCATTCCACAAGTTCCCCAAGAAATTCAGAAGGCCCACTGTTGAAGGTCAGCCTCACGTGAATGGATTGACCAACAAATGTCGGCGCGTCTTGTTTGCCACTAAAATGCTCTGCCCACAAAGTTTAAAGTCCAAGGGCTCAGGGAGTGACAAACCCAACATTCAAGAGGCTCTGCCATTGGGTTGAAAGTGTTCCAACCTGCAAAAAGCTGAGCTTGTGCTCAAGTCATTTCTCTTGGGGTTGTGCCTTCACCCCCCCTTACCCTTTTTACCGCCAGGACGACGGGGACTTGTCCTTGGCCCTCAAGGTACTAGAGGAGCGGACGGCACCCTGGGTGTAACTCTCAACATGAGAGGGTGTTTTTTCCCAGGTGAGCCCACCACAATTTGCCCAGAAGTACTGCGGATGGAGGAAATCCGAAAGGGGAATCAAATCATTCCAGGGTTTTGAACGGTGCGGGATTTGAGTTGGTTAGTTGGTTTCCTTCGGTTTCCCTGTTTGGCCATCCAAAGCTGGGTTGCTTCAAGCCCCCCCGAACGAGCAAAACATGCCTTAGACCTTTCGCAGGTTTCCATTTGTTTCCAAGAGGTCGAAGGCGCCTATGGGTCAGGTCACAGCAAAGACCAGCCCTGAGAATAAGGTGCCCCTTTTCCCCATGGAAATCCACTAAACGTTGGGGCCTTGGAAGGGGGCGGGGTGTTCGGGGATGTGTTCCAAACCAGTTTGGTTGCCCCTGGCGACCTTGGGTTGCAAACTTCAGGTCCGCTTGGGGCCTCTCAAGCAGCTCCGACCATCTTTCAGAGGTTGCGTGCTTGATGGAAATCGTTTTGTACTCAAGTCCGAGCTTTTGCCCTTTTGGTTTTCACTTGTTGCTCCATTTCTAGCGAAGGTCCAAAAAGAAAACCTTTTACTTCTTTGTCCTTTGGGCAGGTGAGTTTTGGGGTGTTTCCCCCAAAAGCAAAGATCCCGCTCTTGCATGGGTAGCCCCCTTGTCAATCAAGCAGAGGTTTATTAACCCTGGGTGCAGGCAGAACCAAGAGTACATCAGCAAATGCACGTGGAATTTCAGTCAATAGCTAAATGTACGAAAGTATCTTTGAACCACACCAAAAACGGAAAATGACGGGGAGCATGAAAAACTTGGTCATCTGCCTTGGGTGGTTTCTGACGACCTTGGCTAGGGGAAGGGGGGTGACCAAACTGAAAGTATGCATGGCGGTGTCATGTCAGTGCTGTTTCCGGCCAGGTTTGCTGCAAAGCTTGACCTGCAGCCCAAGAGCCTTAATGCGTAGAGTGAGTCCATGATAATCTGCCAGGTGCTGCAACCCGTTAGGCATAAGACAAAAGTTTCTTGAAAGTTTGTCAAGGCAGGGTTCCCGCTGAGTATTCCTCAAACTTGTGGAACCCCTTTTGCATGATTTCAGCACTGGAAGCCCTAAGCACATGGGCAGCTTTCCAGTGGCTTCCGGCCATCATGTGATTCCTTCGGCAGCACTCAAACTGGGCAAGCCCAGAAGGAATCCAATTCCTTTTCTACTGGTGTTCCTTCTCCGGGTCTCACTTCCTGAGTTCATGGACTGTATGCTTCTCGGGGTTGGGCCTTTTTAGTGGCATACACAAAACACTAGTTTCTAGGGGTTGGTTCCCCATTCTTTTCAACCATCGCTCTTTGCAAAAACCAGCAGTTTCCCCTGGGGTTCTGATGGTTTTCTGGAAAGAAGGATCCCTGGAAAGAATGGTTGGAAGTGTCCCCTAGAATTTTAGCGGCAAGAACAAAACACGAGTCGCTTGCTTCGGGGGCCCTGCACTCAAATCGAGCTTGGCATCAGGATTCCAAGCGCTTTTTCCGAGCCCTGAGCATGATGGCCGAAGGCTGAAGACGGCCGACGGCCAGATGTTTTGTGAGCTCAAGGCTTGCTCGTGAGGTTGCCCTCACTCCCACTAACATGGCACCCGACTTGGGTTTCCTCCAAAGGAAACTGATCTAGTGGGAGGAAGGGCAGATGTATCCGCGGGCTTCCAGACAAGTTGTCTATTTCAGGGGGGGAGACTGGGAAACAGAGTCTGGAAATACTATTTCCTGTGTACCCCATATGTGGGCCAAGGTGTTATGTATCCTGGACTTTCGTTCTAATCATGGAAGGATGACAGGAGAATGTATGCAGCATTGTGTTCGTCCGAAGGCCCCCCTGCCGTCAGCTTCCATGGCTGTTGGAAGGGGGCCAATCTTGTCATTGCGTACGGAAATGGAAGCGGCCTTGCCTAGAATGCAAGAGTTAACCTATGATGATGATGGTGACGATGAGGATGAGGATGAGGATGAGGATGAGGATGATGATGATGATGATGATGATGATGATGATGATGATGATGATGATGACTCGCACGACGATGATAATGATGCTGATAACAAGGATGATGATGAAGGTTCAAGCTATGCCCCCCTTACCCTTGTCATGCTTGATCAATCATGAGATGAGGTCCGGTCAAGCTGTCCAATGGTCGTTGGTCCAGCGAGAGCGAGGGGCATGCGAAAGACTCATGAAAATAGTCCAGTTGCAAACGTGCCACTTGATAACGTGCTTGAATTTTGCCATGTCCGATTCCTATTTGACATGGCATGAGGGTCCTGGAAGACTATTTTCCTAGGGGTGTTCTGGTGGATTCCATGCGAGTTGGAGGGAAAGTAAATTCTAAGCCAATCACATCCAGCCACATCAAATCGAGGGAACCATGTGCGCTTCTTGCAAGGTTTCCAACTTGTTCCCTTTGCTTCGTTGCGTCCATGCCGGCAGGGTACGTGCCTTGGCTGTTGTATTGGGTGTTTATCCTGTAGCTTTCTTCCAATTGGCATTTACCCAATCAACTCAAACCACTGAACTTTTGGGGACGTTGTCAGCCCCCCCCCCAAGGGTCAGTTGGTTGTTTCCCTCTAATCTACCACTTGCACGACTTTGATCAGATGTATATGCACGTATATCATTATATTATACCACGTAAATGTATATAGATTTATACATATACATATATATATATAATACATGTATGTATGTACATTGTGACATATTTACACTAGACCAGATGATGTAAGGTTATACATAGACCTTTGCCAAGCAATGGAGCCAGAGAAGCCAGCAAAAGGTTCGTCACCTCGCCAAAGAGACGTGCTTTCCCGGAACCGCAGGCCGCGGAACATCAAGCTTCCGCTTGCTGGAGGTCCGGGCGCCGCGGAGTCGACGGAGAACTTCCATTTGGGGTCGGCTTTTTGGGGCATGTCATTTTGAAAGGAACTAGATCCCCCAGTGCCCTTTTACCCTTTTCGGTTGGGAGATTCGGTTCCCCTACTAAAATAGACTACTAAAACAAGTTGGTACTCTTATTCTAACCTCTCTACTGGAGGATCTAGGGGAACTCAAGGAAGACGACCGCGCATTGAGGGGTGATCGGAGCCTGGCAGGGAGTCCGGACTATTGTAAAGACCTGCTGGGGCGATAGCTATCACCGAGACCGGGTGCTGGGAATGAACTGTTTGGGGGATGGTTTTAGTTCGGGGTCATTCCCTGCTGAGAACCAGCAAGAATATGTTTTATTGTCCCTTGTTGGATTGAAAGCGAACCTAGGACTGTATTGTTGTTTTTTTTCCTGGGGAATTCAGCAAATGGAAGGATCATCATGACGCAGGCAACCCTTGGTTGGTGAATTTGAACCTCCGGCTTTTGAGGGACCCCCTGGTTGTGTATGCCAACTGATCTAGGGTTGGAGTGGGGTGCAATGAACATGGGTGCGTTCTTTTTGGTTGGAAGATCTCCGCCCCCAAACAAATGATGGTCTTCCTTTGGTTTCCCTTTGAAACCTCAACAAGAGCACCCTCCGAAAAGGACACCCCCTGCGGGCGAGTGACTTAGGGTCATGGTGGCATGGTTTTCCTTGTTGAGATGAGCTTGTCATGTCTCACTCCCTCGAGTTCCGGAACTTTAGGCTTGTTGGGTTTGGTTACTGTGGGGTTTGAGAGACTTTTCGGTTTGGACTTTTGACTTTAGACTTTTTGGGTTTTGCTAGTTTTTAGTTTTTTTTTTGGGTTGGACTGACTTGATTCTAAGTCCGAAAGGTTTGGTTACTCTTTTTTTCCGACGAATCCACTTGACCGGAAGTGAGTCATGATGATTTGCAGGAGTGACCTTACCAAGACCATGTCCCATGTCCTTGTTGGTCGCCTTTGAAAATAGATCGTCCTGGTTGACCTGACTACTTCACAATCTGCTAGGGCAGTCTATTCTCCCAACAGGATACCTATGATCAAGACTCTTTTGAGTCGCGGCTGTGTTCATTTTGAAACAGGGCTCCTCAAAAGATCTCCATTTTGCAACCATTTGACACATGGCTTTTTTCACTAACATAAAGGGAAACCACTGAAACCACCATTTACAAGGCAATGTTCAGGTGTATAATGCATCCGGATCCCTGTGAAAGCCTAGGGATCCACGGCCTGCGCAGTCCTCTGCTCACCAGGCAGTTGTCACTTGCTTAGTTTGGTCTCTTTGTGTTCACGGAAGAGTCGGGATGTGAGAAAGAGGGTCGCCAGCATTTCCGTGGCACCAACACAATCCCTCAGGTTTCTTTGAAGTAGTCATTTGGATGGAGATGGGCATGGCGGAAAGGACACCACATGACCCCAGCATGTGGAGCCTGGGGCTTCATTGGAACACCCAAGGCATGGTTAGCTCTCCTTTCGGCTTCCCTAAGCCAAGCCAAAAAGGGATTGAACAACAAAAAACATGGCTGCGTCTTTGTTCGGAGTGCGCCCCTTTGTAGGTTGTTCAGGGTTCGCTGTATTTCCCTTTTTGGTGGTTTTAAACATCACCTTTTTGGCACATGAAAGGTGAGTATCCTTTGGTGGGCGTGATGTTTTAAGGGGAAATATAGGGGGCCCTGTTGTTTCACCCGGGAACCCAAGGAGTTGTGGCCCCAGGAGCTGGCCGCGCTGTGAGCTTTGAGCCGCGGAGCGCGCCTCGCGAAAGCCAACGGCCGGCTCCAATTCGAGGGACGAGTGCGATTCGAGTCCACCGGCAGACGGGTTACTCACCCCAAAGAGCTTCATCCATGTTCTTAAGAACATGCTCACAAAAGCAAAAACAACTTGCTGGTTTTTAAAGGGATCTATCACTACTCTACTGGAAATTGTTTTTTTCTTTTTTTTAATGTTTTCCAGGGGGCTTAAGCATATGGAAAGGTTGAGCTGTTTTATTGCTGGGTCCTTTGGCAAACTGAGGAGAGGTAAAAGGATCATGATATGAATGACTCACTTTGCCAAGTCCGACCTGGAATGACATGTTGGGTTTCCCACTTTGGCACAAGCCCCAAAGGTGAACCTGGAAGTTTGTGGGTGCTTTGGGCAACCGGTTAGGCTCAACTTCTTATGAAGCAGACTCAGCAGAAATCACATCTTCGGAGTACCCCATGGGCAAAAGCAACGAGAAACAACCCCCAGGGTGAAATATCCCATGGGTGAAAGCAACGAGCAACAACCCCCAGGGTGAAATTGGCATGTTCTGTGGAGCTGTCACAATCTAGATTAATTATTATGCAGGCCGCCCCTTCAAAACATGGCCAGCCCAAACTAGGTCCCTTTTTCGATCAACATCTGAACACCTTGTTTGAGCCACCTAGAATCTCATGTTTTTCTCGCCACCCCGCTAAGGAAGTGAGATGTTGAACACACATTGTCATTGGAGCCTGCCTTTTGTTGAGGAGGGGCTGAATCGTCATTTAATAGTCAGCAGGTTTTTTGCAATGGAATGCCCGTTTGCACGTTTCCCTTGGAACATGCCTTGGCGGATCCGCAAGCCTTCCGCCTTCTCGTGCGATCTCCGCGGGGGTCTTGGGGATGGATCTTTCTTTGTGTTGTTTTTTGTTTTTTTTCTCAGACGGTGTCCCAGATACTCTTGGGATTAGTTGGGGGGGGGAGTTGATTCACACAAGATGGTCATGGCAAGTAAAGGCTTGCCCAGGCCAATGGTGCAAGGCAAATATTCGAATGAGGAATGTTTTGAATGGTGGGAAGTGGATTGGACGCAAGGACTTGTTGATCTAATTGTTTATTTGTTTGCTTTTTTATTCGTTTGTTCACTCACCCACCCACCCGCTCGCTCGCTCGCTCGCTCACTCACTCACTCACTCACTCACTCACTCACTCACTCACTCACTCACTCACTCACTCACTCCCTCATCAATTCATGATTTGTTTTTGTTCCGTTTGTTTGTTTGTTCTTTCTTTGTTAGTTATTTATTTGTTATATATTTATTTACTCTTTTTTTTTGTTCGTTCTTTCTTTATTTCTTTCTTTCTTGGTTTTCTTTCTTTGTTTTTTTATTTTGTTATTTCTTTATTTCTGTATTTCTGATTGTGTTTATTGATTTATTGACTTATTTCCCTCTTTCTGTCTTTCGTATTTATTTCATATTATATACTTGTTTTTTTGCATATGTATTTGCATTTATTGTGTTGGCTAGCTGGTTCATTTGCTGCTCAAATTGTGTATGTATTCATTGGTTTGATAGGCTAGTTCATTTGCTGCTCAAATTGTGTATGTATTCATTGATTTGATGTCATTGGCGCGTAAGCGTCTTTGTGCTTCCAGTTCCCATTTTGCAGGGTGTGTGTGTGTGTGCGGGCGCTGGAAACTTCTTTAGGCTTGTGCTGAAGTTGCTAAAGAGCAGTTGTCTTCCATTTGCTTAAGGATATTTGATGTTTTTCTTTGTTGGTTTTAAAGGGAATCTATCACTACTGGAAATATGTTTTGTATTTTTTCCAGGAGGCTTGATGGAAGTTGTGGATGCGGCTTTGACGCGCGGAGGTGGACGAACCCCCGCCAATACAGCTGTGCGGTCACGTCTAAGTCCCCAGAGGTGATACTGCACTTCAGGGGCAAGAATCGACCTTGTGACCTTTTAGATTCCTCTTTTTGATCCAGTTTCCGTCATGGCGCCAAACCGTTTATCTTTCCATTTTTTGGGTCCTTTAGGTAACTGAGTTGAATGATCTCTCTTGTGCGCCATATCTCTGAAGCCTACCGGCACGTCGAGAGCATTGCGTATGGATGATCTTTCCACCAGTATGAGTTGATGACAGACGCCCCAATGGATTTGAGTTCGCCGGCCAGCGCCCAACAAAGCAACATGACTGAAAACATAGTGCAGAGCAAAGTGGGAGGGAAATCCTCACAACCTCAATGGTGCACAAGACCCCGGTAATGGCGTTCATTCTGGGTAAGCTCATTCTAGCCCCAGATGAGCCCGCGACAAGTTACAATGAGCTGGGCAACCATGCTTTCTGTGGACCCCGGATTATTAAGCCCGTCCTATTAATGGGTGAGTGTTTCCTGCAAGAGTGATGAATGCCCACCAAAAAAAAACTATTGGTCAACCAGGGTTTAATGTGGAGTTCACATCAAAATCCTTGACTGGTGTTCGCTCTTTAATCGCTATATCGAGAACCCATTTTGGGGCCAGCATTTTCCGGGGGGGTCCCCTGTTAAACAGCCGTCCAAATCTTGGGACCTTGGAGGTGAGACGCGCTCGATGAATTGAAGCCCTTGCTGTTTCAAGCCGCCAGCGAACTGATCTGCGGGGAGAAAAACATGGCCGCGTCCTTTCCCTAGGAGCCCAAGACCCTGAATATTAAGGCCTTTGACCCCCGAAGACCTCAACAAAAGGGTTTTGGAACCCTAAAGTTAGGATGTGTTGGGACGTTTGACGAGGGTTTGACGGTTTGCCAGCTGATATTTGGACGTCTCCTCCAAAACTGGCGTATATTTCAGGGTAGGCGAATTCACACATGAATCAGGATATGTTTTTTTTTGTTTTGGGGGGGGTGGTGCACCCCAGATGTGGGCCAAGACCTGGGGGATCTTAGGGGATTACTTTGGGGGGAAGGGACGCCGAACAGATCCGCAAGGTCCAGCTTTTGTGGGCGGAGCTTGTGATTGGAAGGGCATGTACAGCTGCAGAATTTGCGAACAGCAGAGCCCTCACCTCACTCGTCACAGGAACGCAAGCCAAAAAGAGAGCGCCGTCCCGCGTTTCTTCGCGCGCGTTGCTTGGTCGGGAGTTCGGGGTAGGATACCTTGGCGCCAGTGAAGGAATTATCGTACCAGCTGGCTTGGCGGATTTTCTCTGGGGATTTTGAAGGTGGCTTTTGAGTGTAACCCTGGAGGTTCGGAATCACATGTCTATGTTCTGGCGAGCTTGTCTGGTGAAACGAGCTCACCATGTTGTAGGTACCTTATCAGCCTTTCTTCGGTTTTTGGAATGATTTTCAGTTTGCCGAATACTTCCACTTCCAAAGGGGGAGGGGGAATGCGTTATGCTGCATCAGACGCGCTGCCGGCGTTTTGCCGCATGAACCTCGTGCAGGCTCAGAGCGGGGGGGTTGATGAGCACAGCCAACGGTGAAGGTTCTTGATACTTTGCTTGAAATGGTTGAAGCTAGCACTTTGTGTTACTCAAACGTTCCTTAAAGGATACACTCAAAAGGCTCAAGGCTTATGAGGAAATCCTCCAAGTCACTTTGCCCAAGCTCCCTTCAACTCGTCAACCTGGGAGCCCTTTCCATGGCCTCAGCAAAGGGTGACTCTTTTCTACAGGGAAGTTCGGCGGACGGGGTGACACTTACAGCTAAGCACAAGGAAGCCAACCGACCGAAATGAAGCCAACCATTCATAAGGGGTCATCTTGCCCTTTCCCCCGAGCTCTGCAATTGGCGTTGCCTGCATGGAATTCGGTGCTTTCGATGCACCTCGGCAAAATTCTGGCGGGCACATTCCAATCATTCCTCCGGCAGCCTGCCAGGGGTGCATTTTTCCAGCATATGTAGGTCCAAAAACGGCAAGGGTTTCCTCTTGGCTTCCCTTTGAATCAAGAGGGGGGTTGAAGCACCATTTGGAGAAATTCCTAGGTGTTCAACTTGGATGTTGAGACGCCCGCAAGAAAGGAACCACGGATACTGGAGAAACATGGCCACAGCAAGGAGCTCAGAGCGGTTTCAACACCGCAAACCCTGGGATTTCTGCTTCTAGGCCAGGCATGTTTCGAGTTCCTTCTGGTGAAGATGGCTGGCTGGCTGCCCTCACGGATTGTAATAGGAGGTCTTCCCCGAGTGTTGCGGCATTTCCCACAAGTTTCACTTGCTGTCAGTTCGGGCAAGCCAGAAACCACGAGATGTGCAATCTGCCAGGGGTTCTCAGGGTGAAAGTGGGCTGGCCGGACAAGCTGGGGAGGCCTCCATTCACCAGCCATTTGCCGTCTTTGCTTTGCCAGGCCGCCGGGAACCCATGAAGCAATGCCCACCCCCCGTGGGTGTCATGGTCTCTGGCCTTTAGACATGTGATCCTGCCTTGCCGCCTGGTTGCCGTGGCTGATCCTTGCTTTGCAGATCTGCATGCTAAGGATCACACTTGTACATTCGTGCCGCTAAAGCGTGTTTCCCAAACATGCCATGGCTCTCCAGTCTGGCGTCGGTCATCCACTTTGGGTGGCTTTGGATTGGGGGCAAGCAAGGCCCGGAGGTCATTTCCGGATGCTTTAAAGTGGACGCTCTGAGCCTTGCGGAGTGCCTGGGCTTTGCCTGGTGACCTGCTGTTGATCCAACACTCAGGGTCAGGCCAAACATTTTCCGTTGTGGCGTTTATTCAGGCTTGCGCGCTCCTTTTTTGTTTGCTCCTCCACAGTTCACATAATAACTTGCTTGTGGATGGGTGTTTCGCTAACTTCTATCATGTGTTCCTGGAGCTTGGTTCTTGAAACGGCAAAACACCTCAAGAGTTCACGCAACCCTTCTAAGAAACAAGCCGCCTAGCTGTAAGCATTGCCTCCCGAAGTGGGATCTTTTGCATGCAACGGCAGAGAGAGAGAGAGAAAGCTTGACACATACCGCACCCATAAAGGAAGTTCACCACATCCCCTGTCGCTGAAGGGCTCGCGCGCTGGACGAGAAGCGCGAGCTTTGGAGCGGTTACTTACGAAAGGCGAGGTGTGTGTTTGTAAGTGTGTGTGTGTGTGTTGTTTGTTCGTTTGTTTGTTTGTTTGTTCGGTTGGTTAGTTGGTTGGGTGGTTGCTTGGGTGGTTGCTTGGTTGATTGGTGGTTTGGGTGGTTGGTTGGGTGGGTGGGTGGGTGGGTAGGTGGTTGTGTTTTGCATTTGGTTGTGTGTTTGCTTTGTCTGTCTGCTTGCTTGTTTGTTCTGTTGTTTGGCTGTTTGCTTGCATGTGCTGTTTGTTTAGCTAGTTGTTTTGTTTACGTGGTTGTTTGACTTGTTTGTGTTGTTTGTGTTTTGGTGTTTTTGCTGTGTTGCTGGGTGGTGTGCAATGTGCTTGATTCTGAGTGTTGATGGTGGGCTGAATGTTGCTTTGTGTCCTTGCACGTGTGTTTGACTTTGTGTGGTTTCTTTTTCCTTGGCATGATTTGTTTGTTGTGTCGTGGTCGTGCGTGCGTGCGTGCGTGTGTGTGCGTGCATGTGCGTGTGTGCCACAGTTTCACTTTGCTTGATTGTTCACATGTGTTGTTTCCTTGCGTTGGGGTTTGCCTTTGGCTTTGGCTCTATTCTGCTTTGCCCTTGTTGTTTTCGGTGTTGTGTCGGTAGCGTATTACGTGTCGTGCTGTTTGGTTGGGCTTTCTCCCGTTTTCCTTGGAGAAATGCGGTTTTGTGTTTGGCTGTTTTGCTCTCGTGCGGCGTTAAGTTGTTCGCGATTGGTTTGAATTCGTCGCGTTTGGGTGTGTTGCATTTTTGTGGCTTTGGTGAAGCTGTTGTTGTTGGCGTTGTTTAGTTTTGTTGTGATTTGGCTTGCTTTGCTGTACACTGTCACTTTGGCTTGGCTGTTTCTGTTTCAATCTGCTCTGCTTTGTTTGGCTTTGCTTTCCTCAAGTCGTGTCAGCTTTAGCCTGTTTATGTTGTGGCTTGCTTTGCTATTGTCTTTGTTTATTCAAGCTGCATCAAGCTGCTTTGTTTTGGTAGGGCTTTGCTTTCTTCAAGTTGTGTCACATTGAGTCTGTTGTTTCGGCTTGCTTTGCAGTTGGCTGCTTTGCTTTGTTTGGCTTACTTTGTTCAAGTTGTGTCTTCAGCGCTTGTGCTAGTTGGGGTGTTGTACTGCACTTCATGGAGATGAACGGGGTATGATGAATAGCAACTCGTCGTTTCTGGCTTTGTTTTTCTAATTAAATGAGGGCACCCTTTCTCTTGCACCAGCTTAAGAATACTTGTTCAATGTATGAATGACAATGTGTCTCTGTGTGTTTGCTCCCATTTGCTTAAGAGTTGGCAAGGTTTCTCATATACTTCCATTTGCTGAACCTAGTGTCAGTTGTTCCACTGTCGGTTTTGAAGGGGATCCATCACTCCTGGAAATATAATGTTTTGTTTGTTGCTGTTTTTCGGGAAGAGGAGGCACCAAGACTGAGCTGTTTCCCATGTGGCTTTCCTTTTTTTACAAGGCGTCCCACCCAAAAGCGACCCACGTTGTTTGGGAGGGTAGCCTTTTTGGGAGTTGGTTCCAGGGGAAACCCAAAGACCCAAAGCAAACCGTGGGGTTCCTGAAGGCTACACATCTATTCAGCCGGAAAGAGGGAAAGAGAAGGTTACCGGTCGGATGTCGCGAGTCGGGAGCGTCGCGAGCTCGCGAGTCGAGACCGAGCTCGCGAGGCCGCCCAACCGGAAAAGCAGGGGTCTCCCTCGGCCCCTTGGCCTGAAGACATCTCAAGGCAGCGGCTCGCCCAATTCGCTTGGCTTCTGCCGATTCGTTCGGGCCTCAAGGATCTGATCAGATTGCTTGGGGCAAGTAGTGGCTCGAACTCGACATGTTCAACACTACTGGTTGTTGTTTGGTTTCCCTTCCAACGCCCTAAAAATGCAGCCTCTTGTTGGAAGCATGGTGGGTTTTAGTTTGTTTTTCGGCATGACCATGTTTGCCGTTGACAGGGGGCCAGGGCACCGTGTCAATGTGGCAAAGGCCACAAAGCAACAGGGCGCCAAAGGAAGAAATTGGGAGCTTCTTATGTCTTGGGGCTCGCAGCCATCCCCTTAGCCTTTTAGACTTTGAGTGTTTAGTGGGGGTTTCCACTTGACCCACTAAAAGCTATTTTTATAGCGGGGGATCTGAGGGCAGCCCAGATGTGTCTTTCTTGGTGTTTGTTGCTTAAGCATGTTCACCCCCTTTTCACACCACAAGGGCTCCCACAAGTATGATTTGACACATCACAGAACGAGTCGTGTGCTGGAACAACGTGGTAGCCGAGCCTACCCAAACACCACATCAGCACAAGTTCTGCCGCGCCTACCTTGGGAGGGAGGGTGCTTCGCCCTCTACCTACCACCTTGTCCAACTTGTGTGGCGTTGTCTTGTTTTTGATCCAACATCTTATTCCTGCAGTCTCCCTTGTTGCACTGGTGGAGGCCCTTGCTCGAGAAACCGGACAAATCCCGGACAAAGTGGCCGAAGCTACTTATCTGGCCGAAGCTACTTTTCCGAGGCAACTATTTCTGGGACCTTTGAAGTCCAATGGCTAGCTTAATCTGATCAATACCGCATGCACACATTTTAGGCATGGGCTTGGCTTCAACAAGGGGCTCAAGCAATGCAATATTCCAACTCAGGTGGTCAGTTTTTGGTGAGTCACCGCTTGTTTTTCAGAATCCTCAATTTGACGACTTTCCTCTTAGGATCCTCAATCAGTTCCACAACTCAGTTGTTCAACGCCGACCTCTTTGAGTGTGCCCTTTTTGGTGCCCCTGGCCGCTATCCCTGATGTTCGGGATACGTCGATTTGGCGTACGCCTTGGAGTGTGGAGCGTTGGCACTAAGGGGCCGAGTGGGGGCGATTATGCTATAGCTTCGCCCAACTGCAAGCGCAGACTTATTTGACATTTCGCATGGCTTGCTCGAAGCATTTTGAGGCTATTCTACACCATGCTTGGCTTCCCCATGGTCAACTCCAAGGGAACGGGGAGCCATCAACGATGATCCTTTCGAGTTAGGGCCTGTTCTCAGGAATCTTTTTTACCCCAGGGCCGCTGATGCAACTGAGAGGGATGTGAGCGCCTTTCGCCACAAGGCCCGCGTGGACCGCGGCAACCGTGCCGCTCAGATGCGGTTCTTGCATCCGCAACCACGGTAAGAAGGGACCTGACTCCAGTTATTTTAGTCATAGCCATGCGTCATACGTAATGGGTTGGTTGGGTAAACTTGGCTTAAACAGCCAGAATCCCGTACCCCGAGGCAAAAAACCAGGTTTGTCAAAGCAGGTGGTGTTTAAACAAGGGCTCTTAAACGCCGCTGGCAAGTCATGGGGACTGTCCGAATTACCTAATTATGGCAAGCCACTGTTGGGGGGGGGGGGGGGGCCGGCTCGCCTGTGACGAAAGCCCTAAGGCCTTACGAAGGGGTGGTGAAGTAAGGGATGGCCCCCTCCCCATGTCCCCCCTATAGGGGTCCATGTGACTAGGGTTGGCCCCAGGTTTAAGAACCCCCAGTCAGCTCGAAAAATGAAGCTGCAAAGTCTGTAGACACAGTCTCTGAGAGTTTCCATTCATTCCCCCCATGCAAAGGGGAGGGGTGTACCGGAGCTCATTACATCATATTTCAGCCCATGTTCCATCCACGTGCATGCTACATTTTCTACCTCCGCAGTTGGTTCTCCGATATGGTTGGCCCAGGTTGGTCCTCGGAGATGTCGCATTTGATAGGGGAAGGTCAGCTTTGGCATTCGGCTCAGGTTGTTGCAACAGGGTTCCTTAGAAGCTACATGGGCTTGCCTTTTTTGAGGGTAAGTGTCACCCCTGGTTAGTAAAAGGCCCCCTTCAAGGTTGGCATAGCTTGCAGTATTCTGGAGCTCCTTCCATGAATGCGCCCTGGACGCCCCCTTGCCGCTGTGCCTGTTCGGGGATCGTCGATTTGGCGTACACCTTGGCGTTTGTACACCGTCGGCACCATGGCACAAGGTATATAAGTGGGCACGTACTGTGGATGGGCGAAATCCGGCTCTGCCTTGAGAAACCCTGGCATGATTCGACTCCCCCCTGCAAATCCCAACCAACAAACAAAAACGCTCACTCCCTGAGTTCCTTGACTTTGAACTTTTTGGTTTTGGACCATTTTAGTGGTAGACCAAAACCTGGCCGAATTTCCACTCAGGAAGTGAGGAATGTGTGCCCTCGAAGAAGAAAACAAAAAAGACACACCCATATTATGTCCACAACCTTTGAGCCAGGTCGCCTTATTGAGGGCGGTCTGGCTTATCGGCAGCCGGCACTTGGAGAAGGCGAGGGGGTGGGACAGTGGGACACCTCGCGGAAGAGTTTGCATGGAGCGCCCACTGAAACCGTTTACACAGAGAGACAAGACAGCAGCAACAACAAACAATCGGAGAAATAAATCAGCATGAATCAAACAGTCAACTCTCCAACGAACCAACCAACCAACCAACCACACAAGCAAACAAGCAAACAAGCAAACAAGCAGACAACACAAGCACGCCTATTTGGCCTGTTTCGCGGATTTGATGGGACTTGGCTTTTTCACAACTCCCAGGTCATCTTAGGGGCGCCTTTCGTTGCTAGTTGCTGGCTTTGACTTCGTGGCTGGGTTAGGTTGGGTTGGGTTGGGTTGGGTTGGGTTGGGTTGGGTTGGGTTGGGTTGGGTTGGGTTGGGTTGGGTTGGGTTGGGTTGGGTTGGGTTGGTTATTAGCTTGGTGTTTTTTGTTGGTTGCTTTGTTGCTTTTGCTCAGCGCGCCTCATGTTCTCCAATTGTAGCGACCTCCTTTACCACCTAAGCTGTCAATCGAGCAAAGCGAGCCGACTTATGACCTCTAGCTGCCGCTTGCTGCCGCAGGCTGCCAGTTGAACCAGGTGCTTCAGCTTCGACCATTTTCGCTCCCAACCTCATGGGGAAATCCTGCATTCGCGTTTCCTCCGTGCCATCGGACCCAAGCCGCGAACATGGCATGCTTTGCCAGGTAAAGTGCGCGTCGACCCGCGTCAACTCTTCCACGAAAGATGGGGTCAACGGGAGACCATGGGATAAAGTTTAAGTAGAACCCGTCCTATTAAGGGGGGTGTCGCCCACAAAAGTGGTGAATCCGGTGCTAAAAGGGCAGATGCCCCGATCACAGTTGCACAGAATTTGGAGCCACCATTCAAAATAATTCCCTTGATTTGGGGGGGTTCAACCCATTTTTAGAGGGTGTCTTGTCACCTTTTGGGCGAACCCCCTAAGATTCACCAGTCGTGGTTGCCTTGCCCTTGTTGCGGATGATGTTCAACAGAAGCGACTTTTGAGGCCACAATCTCGATATTTCGGGCAGTGAGCGGGGGACAACCTGCGCGGGATGTCCTTGGGCATCTAATCTTTGAAGAGGGCAGGAGTACGGCCTGACTAGTGGGTGAGAAACCAGACATTTGCCCAGAAGTTTGAAAATGAGTCCAAGGGTTGGGGAAGCAGAGACGCCACGGGCGGTTTGGATTAGAGCCTTCGCTTCTTCCGTTTCAGCGGGGACTGTGGTCTTTTTCGTTTCCGCTAAGAATTGGCCCAACTGCACCACCTTTCCCTGGCCTTTGGGTCACTGAACCACTCTCCACTGCCATTGGGTTGGATCTTTAGACCTTAACTTTTTGGATGCCCCTCATGTTTCCTTTGCACACGCGCTCGCGGCTCGTGGTCTAACCACCGACCGCGTTACGACTCATGGACATGCGGGGAGCAAGAAGTTAAACTTCTTGCTGGGACCTACAGCACCCAAGCACTGGGTTTCGGGAATAAATTCACAGGTGGACGCAGTACTTCAAGCCTGGCGCTTGCACGTGGTGCGCTGCAATACCCGCAGATGCTGCTGGGATGAGGCGCCGTTTTGCGGGGAACGACCCGAAAGGGCTTGAGAAAGCAAAGCTTCCATTTGCTTAACAATATGCCTGGATAGCCAAGTTGCTGCTTTTTTCAGTGACTGTTGCTGGTTTTTGGGGTAAAGTGGATGGAAGAAAGCCGCAACTGACGATCCAGGTGTGTTATTTCCCCTCGTCGGTGTTTTAAATGGAATCCATCACTGCTGGATTATTGCAATCGCTACGCGATCCGCCGACGCCAGTGGGGTGCAAGGAAATTTAAGACCTTTTGTTTTTTTCATGGAAGTGTTGCTGAGGATGCTGGAAATGCAAGGGATGCAACCACACAACGTACAGGAACAGACCCGATCTTCGCATCCAAAATTTCAAGACTTTCAGACACGCAAAATTGACCAAACACAGAAAGTACCGGAGATGCCGGGAATGCTGGGAATGCAGCCGGCTGGCCACTACAAAGTCCAAAAAACCAGGATTTTTGATATTTCCCAATCAACCATCAAAAGCAGATACTAGCAACCCCACTCAAATACCTAAAAATAGACTTCCAAAAACACGATAATGCAGGGGATGTTTCGCAGTAACTGCTCCGTACAGTTGGGGAATTACAATAAACACTCATTTTTGGAAATTCAAACAGTTCCTCAACGTGTCACTGCACTTAGCCCCACCCAGACCCCTAACAGGCCGATTCCAACATCGCTTGAAACAGCAAAACCATTAGTACAGAGACAAATTCATGGCAGTAGATGATGCTGGGGATGCAGATCCTGCGTGTCCGGGGGACCCGCCCCTAAAAAAACCTAGGTGAAGCGCAGATTTTTAGCATGGACACTTACAGGGTTTTGGACACCCAGCACACCTTGCCCAAAAATGGCAGCACCAAAAGCCTTCGGCTTTGATAAGAGATCCGAAGGAAGACCAAGTTGCGGACTGCCATCTATACGCCCGACTGGCGTCGGCAGATTTCTGTTTTTTCAGGTTTAAGCAGATGGACTCAAGAACGAGGAGGGGTCTGGATCTGCAGTAGGTCTCGGACCCCAAAAAGGTGCCGCTTGATAGGTTTGAGGTTTTGGAGTTGGGGCGTGATACCACCATTGCTTAAACACTCCTTTTGACTTCCCATTTGCGCAGGGTGCATGGTGAGGGTCTTTAAACACAAGCCTTCTATTCTTGTTTTGTAGCAGAGCAGTGTTTTCCTTTCACTCAAGCTGGAACCATGGGAGTCGCATAGTCATAAAAAGGGACCTCAATGAATTTGGACCCCGCTGCAACCAGCTGGAGGATCTCGATTCCCGGTTCTTTCGGAGGATGAGGTCATTTTGACTTCCCTTTTGGTCAGGGATACCCCCGGAAGCACAAAGCGAAGGACCTCCCAAACCCATCCATAGAATCGATCGGGGCACGCCGAAAACTCTGCGGGTTCCATGTTGGGGCCAAGCCGTGAGGTCGTCGGTTCTTGTTTGACTGCACCTCACTTGGTCAGAAATCCTCACCGTTTTTTGCAAATGGACCCCTCCAGGCACAGTGGCGTGCAGCAGCAAAGACGTAAAGGGGGCGAAAGACCGAAGTGCGTATTCGGATAGGGACCCTCAGGCAAGTTGTCCGCTTCTCCCACGCCAGCAGTGACAGCGAAAAACGTCCCCAGACCTCCAGGAACCTTTTTGTCCATTTCCCCTCGTTGGTTTAAAAGGGAAACCAAGAGGACAATCGAAACCATTGCCATCTTGGGGAGTTTCCAGAAAAAGACGCGCCCATTTGCTTTTTCCCCTTTTCTTGAGAACCAACTACCGAAAAGGCTTGATTGCAAGATTGGCTTTAGGACTTAAACTTTTTGCCAACTAACGGGCTTTCCGTACCAAACCGCCAAAATCATTCACTTCTCGCAGGAGCAGAAAGCAACCGAGGTCTGCTTGAAACCCCCCGCCTGTGGTCGCCTGTCGCCCAGCAGACCGCGCCGTCTCACGGTCTCACGGCTCGCGAGGCAGAGGCCCGGGCGGTGGCTGCGGCGCGCGCGAAGCTGCTAGAAGAGGCGACGCGACACGCGGTGCTCGAGGGCGAGTGCGTGTGGGTGTCTAGGTCCCCCGCTAGTGCCCTTTCTCACCCATTTTTTTGGGGGGGTTGGGAGGGTTTGAAGACATGCGAAGTGCCACTGGCAATGGGAGAAATGGCCTTCCTTTTTCTAGGTCCCCCAGCTAGGTGCCCTTTCTCGCCGTTTCTTTCTTGGTTGGGGGGGGCCGGTGAACCGGTGAGATGTATTATGATGTGATGAATGAAAAGATAGACCATAAGATTTCTATAAAATGCTTTTTGGTAGTCTTTTCGTATCTTGGAGATTCTATATGATGATGCAAACTGTAAAATCCTTGACGAAGTAACTCCAAATAAAGGATTCTGAGATATAGACGGTTATCTGTAAAATCCCAAGAACAATAAAAGAGAAAGAAGATAATTCCGTTCACTTACATCCTAACCATAAGATTTCTATAACATGCCAATAATAAAGTTGTAGATTATAAACTATATGAAAAGACAACCAAAATAAATAATAAAAGACTAGAAAGATAAATCTATTTGTCTACACATGAATTCTGAATCTTGGATGGTAGGAAGGAGATGATGCAAGGATTCTTAGAGCCGCAGCGTGTGAAGGGAATAATAAAAACAAGATATGATGGTAAAAGATAAATAACCATAAGATTTCTATAAAATGCATTGTGATTGAAGATTTATGATGTGATGAACCTTTCTGTAATAGCGGTTCATCTTAAAGAAATTCCACCGGCTGGACAGGGAAAGCCGGGAGAAAGAGAAGAAAGACATGGTAAAGAGAGGGAGATGACGAAGGATCCCCTAGTAAAATAGACTACAGAAAAAAGAAACGGTACCAACTTATTCTAACCTCTCTACTGGAGGACCTAGGTGTGCTTTCTGGGTTAGCTTCAGGGGGACTAGGGCTGACCCACCTGAGCCGACCCACCTGCTCAGTACCATTTTTACAGATTTACTCGAATCCACACATAAGTCAGCCCTAGTCGCCCTGAATAGTTTGGTTCGAAAGAACAGGGGTCAAACAGAAGTTCTAAACACTACTCTGGGGGGTGTACCTTACCTTGACTAAGGTGAATTTGAGGGTTATAGTAGTGGCCCTAGGAATGATGGGTTCCAGGTATTTGTCTCAGGTGAACTTTGCACAGACTGGATTTCCCCCTTCAAGAGTTGCAATTGGCTGGCGTCCGTTGACATGATCGCCACTTTGCAGGTTCCAAGCAGGGAAGTTTAGAGTGTTATTTGTTTTTTCCATTTGCCAGAGCCATGTTTTTTGTTCGAAGGTCACCTATGGCGGTGCCCGTGTGTTGTGTGATGTTGTGTATGATTCTTCTCGGGCACATAAAACGTGCCGCAGGCGCATCACGGGGAAACATGCTCTTCAGTTTTGTTTTTGGATTCCCGGGCTGACCTTGTTTCTGTTGTTCGGTTTTGTTTGTTTGTGAAGGTATCCTTTGGGGGCCAAGGGCAAACATGGGCAAACCATCGATTTTGAGGGGTTCCCCCCGTTTTGGACACAAACCCGTTTGGCTTTGTAACAAAGGCAAGCTGAGAACGTTGAGCTGGATTGCCTTTAGGTACCACAAGCCAGCGAGCAAATTTGGGTTTCCAAGCACTAACTAGCCACATGGGCGTCTAGCATGCCCAGGGTTTGAGTAGAACCTGGCAGATGAACCAGTTGTAATGTAATACGGACGCCTTTTCCACAAGTGAAGAGCCTCCTTTGCGCCTCAGATGTGATGGATCAGGGTTCCCAAACAGATTACCTTTTCATCCAGTGAGTCACCTTTGGAGTGATAGGGGACATGTAGGGACCCCTATTCAGCTCGTTCGCTTCGGGCGCGTTCGCAGGATGGGACTGGCAATTCTAGATTTGTGGTTTTACATGGGGCCGAAGTCTGACTGCTAGACCGGACTTCCGAGGAATTCACCCGGGTTTTGCGTCAAAATTGGGGTGGTGTCCCTTGAATTGTCCCTTTAAAGCCACCCGACAGGGCGTTGCATTTTTTTTGGCGAACCCCCCGAGCCTAAGGGGTTCGGAGATCGGCTGAGTCTGAGAGGCTTTCAGGTAAGCATGAAAGAGCCTAAGGAACCCCATGGTTGTTGTTGGGAAGCATTTTTCCAATTTTTGCTTATTGTTGTTTAGTGGTTGAAATCCAGCCACTTAACTGCTAAAAAATAAACTGTTTGCTCCCCTTCCAACGTCAACCAAGGACCCGTGCCGACCACTTTTTAGGCGTCATGGCAATAGAGGTGTCAAAAGTCACTCTGCACCGTCCCTGCCTTATTGCCCTGATGCTATTTGCGCAGGTCCATTTTCTTGGATGTGACAGGAGCATCCTTGCAAGTCACCCCCTCAGCGGGTTTGAGCTTGGTGTACTGCAAGAGCTTGATGAATAGAACGCAAGGTTTGGTCAAACCCGGGCCCTCACACAGTGAAACTGTTCTTCTCACTCTCTGAGTTCTTGGATTTGAAGTTCCTTGGGACTATTTGGATGTCGCTCAAAATTCAAGAGGTAGGGTCACGTAGGTTTTAGTCTTTGGTTCCATTTACCAGGGTGCCATTTTGGTACATCTTTTTGACCCACAGCCATTTGAGTGGCAACTTACAATTTGTTGTACTTCTTTTGGGCCATCCGCTGCGCCGATTTTGGGGACATGGGCAGCCAAACGCCAGGGTTTGGCGTGCTGGGCCTCTGCTGTGCCTAGGTTCAGAAGGGAGGAGGGAAGATGGGAAAGTTGCCGGGCTTGCCTTTTCTTGGTATCCCCACTCTGTAGGTCATTGAGGGAGCGCGGATTTTTCGACCCCTGGAGATCTCCATTTTATGTTCCCATGTGCCTTTCATGGGGGGACGAGTTCAATGGCATTGGGGACGAGTTAAGGGGATTTTTTTGGTCTTGCAGCATGTTCTCTCTCAACCAGTTCATGTTTTGCGGGTTGGAGTCAAGACAGCGTAGTTGTGAACATGTTTGGCAAGCTTCCTTGTGGTGATGTTTTCAGGATGTATACGGAACCAAGGTGGAGGTTGGCGCCCGAAATTGAGATTGCTTTCGGCTTCTCGGGGCCTTGTGCTGACTGTTTCTGGGAGTTTTCAAAGTAGAAACCGGCATTGTTTCCCTTTGATCAAATTGATCAACTAATTGATCATCCAATTTGATCAAGGGATCCCTTTGTTTACCCTTAATCTACCTTTGATCTACCTAGGTGACTTTGATCATGTGAAATTCATCACTGCCCGCCTCACACAGGCTACAGCCCCTAAGGCCCGAATGAAAGCCAAAGCAACGCCTGGCCGCACAGAATCGGACATCGGGGATTTGAGCGTTCCGCTCCTCGTAGGATCCCCGATCGATCCCAACCTTCAGGGCCGAAACATCGTTTGGTTACGGCATGTTCCGAGTTTGGGGAATTCGACGGCAAAGAGTCGATTTTCGGAGTTCGCTGGTTTGAACTTGGCTATCTTGGCTTAAAGTTGGTCCACGATTAGTTTAGTAGTCGTTGCGTGGTGGTTTAGTATCGGAGTCCTCGAACGCGACCGGAGCTGGGGTCGGCGATTTCGATTGGGACGGAACTGGCACAACTCACGTCGAAGTGGATTTTTCCTTTATTCCTGCTTTCCTACTCTCCATGTCAGCATGAGAAGCCTTTTAGGTTGGTTTCAAAAAGGAAAGAACAATCACCATTTTGGGGGTCCACTATCTCTCAGAAAAGGCACCAATTTGTTGATCGCACTTTTTTCCCGTGTTGATCGCATGTTCCCGGAGTTTGGCTTGGTCAGTTTGACAAAGTTGCCTCATTCCCGGGCTGTGTTCAACGGAGTCCACACCTCCCTGTTGGCTTTAAAGGGAATCCATCACTAGGAAATCCATCACTACTGGAAATAGGTGTTTTTCCAGGGACCTGAGCCAACGGATGTTTTGAAACATGGAAGGGCACTCCCTAGAAGAAATCCTATGCCAGTGGTTCGCTAGTGCTGGGTTTCAATGACACTGCCCCTGTCAGAGTTCCAAAGTTTGAAAGTGCTGGGGAACATCGGCCTGGAGCGCTATCATAAAAGACTGCTTCCTTGTCAGTTTCAGGGCCTCCCTAAGTTTTAGGCTTGCTCCTTTAATGTTGACCCAGGATTAATAAACCCCTCCCATTATTAGGGGGGTGTTCCCTCCAAAAGTGATGAATCCACCCACTAAAAGGGGACACCCCCCTATTAATCAACCACAGGTTCTGCTTAATCCGGGGTTAACATTAAGAGTTTAATTAACAAAACAATCATTGTTTACCTTTGGCCTCAGATTGAAGGTCGTCATGACCTGAGCTACCTCCACTTAGGCGCCACAATGCATCATTAGGTTTGGAGGAAACCAGGAGTAGCTGGAGGGTCCAGCCGGTTGGATCCATGTTCTTAAGATGTTTGCTCCCCATGCTTGAAGGGAAATGGTCATCTTGCGGAATTAAACATGCCTATGTATACACATCTGTTATTGAGCAGCGTTCTATACTTTCGCGGCCATTGTTGGACAAGGATCCCACATCATTCTGAAACAAAGGAATGACAAAGCACATGCGTGGACGCCCACGGAAGTTTTATTTTATTTTAATCAGTTTCCTCTGTGCAAGCCACTAAGTTGTGTGCAAGGATTCGGAGGACTAGTCTAATGAGAACAACTGAAAAAGCGTTAAACCGACTGAAAAAGCAACAGCGACCGAGTCATGAAAGCGTTGGAGTTTCGCTCCAACGCCCGGAGCCCCCGCACGGTCAGGCTGGTGCAAAGCCGTTACGCGCGCATGCGCTAAAAAAAAAAAAAACGGCACCATGTCGAGTGTCAACTGGGCTGAAGCCGAACGAATGCCCCGGCAAAATGCTTGGACCAGACCCACGCGCGGAAGCCGCGGAAGGAATTCGAAGAAAAAGGAGGCCGGCAGAAAGTACCGGCGGAAGCTGTGCGGACCGGCGTTAAGAGAAACTGCAATTTCTGAACACCGCTCATTTGTGGGGTTTGGGTCCTACGATCTTTGGCCAGAAAGTTCAACAGAGCTATTCGTTGAAAAATGGTTGGTGAACACAAATCCCCACCTAAACGATGCCTTTACTGCAACTGGACTGTAGAGTCACTTTTTGGGTTTGGACCATTTGTACACAACAAGTGTGTGTGTTGTGTTTTTCTTCTCCGGATCCAATCCACTCGCTCGGAAGTGAGAATTGAAAGGACGCCTCAAACGGCTCTGGCCATTGGCTTCCCCCCAAAAAGCCTTCACTCTTCTTGGCAAGTTGTTGTTGTGTTTTTTTGTTTGTCTTATTTTTTCTTGTGTGTGTGTTTTTGGTTCTGTTCGATATTTTTAGGTTTGGGTGCTGCCAAAACAACTTGATTTGTGTTGGGACGAGGCGCAGCAGAGCTGGGCGCAGCGGCGCGCAGCGCAGCTGCTGACGGAGCAACGGTGGCAACGGCAGATACAGGACGCCGAGCCGTGGGGCCACGGCGCTTGGCGGTTTGGGGGGAATCCAAAAGACGTCACCAGGGGTAGACTTAGGATACATTTTATATTTTTCCAGTGACTCAAAGTGAAGCAAACAATAAAATATGCATTCTATAACTGGTCCTAACTCTAATCATGTCACGTCCATTTGCTGAAATGAATATGTTTCTTATGTTTCCTTGGTTGGTTTTAAAGGGAATCTGTGTGTCTTTTGCGAGGCTCGGTACCCGATTGTTTTTTGGGTTGGTTCGAAGGGAAGCCAGAAGCAAAATCACTGATTCTCCTGCACCAAGTCGGGATGGATGAAACCTCTTCATCCTGGTTGATCAGCCACTGGTTTGTGCGAAGTGGAGTTGTCTTTCGCTGTTGGAAAAGCCAAAAAAAAACGCTTCCGGTTCATTCCCAGGAAATTCCAGAGCAAGTGGGTCCTCTGTTGTTTTTTCGGGGTCGCCGTGTTTCTGTTTGTTTGAGGGTCCCCCAAAGTCAGAAAGGCCCAAGCCTTGAGTTCGGGGCTCTGGACCCAAAGTCCGGGAGCTCGGGGAGCGAGAGCTGCGGGGGTGGGGGGGGGAATGGGGGGGGGGGGGGAACGGGTGGGGTTCAAGGAGGTGTTTTTGGGGCTTTCGGATTTTAAGGGAACCGCAGAACATGTTGGAAAGAGTTAGAAAATCTGGAACAAATGTGCCCTTCGCCCAAGGCTTGCCTCATCAGGTTATATATTCCCCCAATTGTTGGTTGGATTTGGGGATGTCAAGGCTTGGTTCTCGAGGAGTTAAATGGGAAGCCACCGGGCCCCAAACCTTCAACACACAAGGGCCCAAACCAGATGAAACGTGCTATTCTGAACAAAAAGTGGCTTGAGATGACGCGGCTCTCGGCAACAGGCACGCTTCAAAATGATGTCTGGCAAGGACACTAACGGCGAAGCACTCGCCCTGAATGCGGACATGTGGGAGTTGAGGCGCCGGTTCCAGAGCACATGTGGCTTACCAGTCATTCAGGAAAGAAGCTTGCATTTTAGCCTGGCGCAGAAGCCACATGTTCGTTGCACCCCGGAGTGAGGGACCTATTCCCTGGGTCATGATTTTGTTTGGTTTTGGGGGTTACCACATTGAACCTGCCAGTTGGGCTGACTTTCACCTTGTGGATTTCAACCCCTGGTTCTATTGTTTTCTCGGGAAGCCGGGACTCCCCCCCCCTCAGACCTCTAAACCAAGGGGCCACACCAAAAAACGAGGAAGGTTGATTCGGGTCTGTCTTTTTTCGAGGGTCCCCTCTTCGTCTCGGGAAACCAAAGAGCAACCGACCGTTTTGCGGGCTTCGATTGCAATGCTGAGACCAACCCAAAAAGATCCAAATAGTATGCCAGCAATCTCAACATGGCCAGCGGTCCACGCGGATAGGAGGCCTTCGCAGCCTGGTCGCAGGCTCGCGCGTTTTTGTTTTTTTGTGTGTGTTTTGTGTTTCTTGGGCGGAAGTTGGTTTGGCCGTGGAGCGCATGGTGTTGGTTGGTTGGTTTGGCTTGGCTTGGCCTGGACGTCGGTCGGTCGGTCGGTCGGTCGGTCGGTTGGTTTGTTGGTGGGTTGGTTTGGTTGGTTTGGTTGGTTTGATTTGTTTGTTTGGTTGGTTGGTTGGTTGGTTGGTTGCATGGTTGCATGGTTGCTTGGTTGCTTGGTTGGTTGGTTTGTGTGTCTGTGTGTCTGTGTGTCTGTGTGGTTGTTGTTTGTTTGTTCTGTTTTGTTTGCCAGTTTGCTTTCTTGCCTGTTTGTTTGCTTATCTTGGTGTATGCTTGTTTGTCTGGCCGTCTGTTCGTCCTCCCGCCGGCCTCTCTGTCTCTTTGTCTCTCCGGGTCTCTGTCTCTTTGTCTCTCCGTTTCTCTGTCATTCTGCTTCGCCCCTATGCCTCCCAGTCTCTTTATAATTATGTTGTGCTTTGTGTCTCGTTGGCTCTTTGTTTTTTGTTTATCTTTGATGTTTTTTCTTTGTCATGAAGCCGGAGTTGTTTCCTTCAACTTTTTTGGGGTCGCTGAGTTGTGCAATACCAGGCAGCCACACGGACATGTGTCAGAACTAGCAACTACGCATCTTGCCAGGTGGCTGGTTTTCCTTTTGGCTTCAATGAGGCATTTCAAGTGGGGCTTGGTAGGATCGATCCGGGGCTGGCATTTGGCTTGCCCAGGCGGAAACGAAAGGACCCCTTGAGCCTTCGTGAGGAATCCCGGAAACAATCGTCACAACATGTGAAGCAAGGTCATGTCATTGTGGAGGTTAGCACTTCTTGAATCCCGAAGCACGCCACATGTTGCAGGGTTGACAAGTTGACATGTCAGAATTTGGAGTAACTTGTTAGTGTAGTCAAGGGACATGCACCCAGGTCAGCGTTGGAGCTTATCAACTTCAATTTGCCAGGGAATATGTGTGTTATTTTTGCGTTTGTTTAAAAGGAATTCATCACGATTTGATGTTTTTGTTTGTTTTCTCCCTCAGGGGACAAACAGCAAATGGAGGTGAGCCTTTCTTTTCAACCATCGTCGTTTTCAAAGCCCGATCGCTGTTTCTCCTGAGCGCGTCTTTTTGGGGACCCCCAAGATGGTGGTTTTCCTTTTCGCTGCCCCAACATGCTGTGGATGGACGAAATCCTGCACCACTTTGAAACCATGGGAAACTATAATTTGTTGGCATTTGCAGGAGAATCAGCATTGAAGGGTTTCTTAGGTGGTGCGAAATGGATTTCGTCCATCCACAGTGTGGAAGCTTCCCCTTTTAGAAGCTAAAGACATCACTCCCACGTGTTTGGCCGCAGGAGTGCCCGCGACAGGCGACTTGTCGAGATCGAGATCGTTCAAACGCGGTTCGACGCGGTGTTGGGTGGGCAGGCTTCAAGGGGAAACGGAAAGGAAGCCGAACGTCAGAAACTTGTTTTCGGGTTTGCCAAGAAATTCCCACGGGACTACCATCATGAAACCCTGCAATGCCCTGCAATTTGGGCAACCGAAAGGATACAATCGCTTTTTTCAGTGGTTCCCCACCCCCACAAAAATGCGAACAACTGCCCACTGTCACCCGTCAAACCGTCAAAAGCAAAGAAGCCCAAGCAGCGTTTTTTTTTTTTTCTCCGGGAAATTGAACTGGAGACATTCCCAGGCAGAAACGGAGCCGCCCAGCCTTGCAATTTCCAAGACTCAGTTTTGGCTGGGACTCAGGTTGCGTTCCGACTCCCGAGGCTTCAGAACCAGGCAGACTTGAGCAGTTTGCCCATCCGAAAAGTGCGGCAGGCTTGCCGGGGCTCATCCCGGAGAATTGGTCTGGTAGACTTGTGGAAGGGTCCGTTTTCTATTCATAGGATGGGTTCCACTTACATCCGGGATTAACACTTGTGCTCATGTTGTGTCGCCCATCTGCCGAAATTTGTCAGTTTCGGCCATGCTTGGCTCCTTGAACGGAGCAAGCGTCACTGTTGTTGGAATGTGTTTAAGCTGTTTTTTGAATGTGCAACTAAAGCCCAAATCCAATGGGGCCCCCAAGCGTAGCTGCCCTTTGGTTTACGTTCCAAAGCAAGTCGACCTTTCAACATGTCGGTTTTTGACCAGTCTTGGCTTAGTTTCAGTCATGCGCCAAGCTGAACAATATCTATCTTTGAACCTGCAGTGGTCAAACTGTACCTCTGGATATGCCAGGAAGGGCTGGTACTTAATAAAGTGGGGTCTGCTTCCAACTATTTAACATTTTAGGGTACCCTCCCACCACTTAACTTGGAACCTGACAGGGGCGTCCCTTCAAAAGGAAAATGGTCCGGTCGCAAAAAATGTGAGACATTGTGAGACAAAGCCTGAACCAATCTGTTTTTCTGTTGGCCTCCGGCCTCTCCCCCCGCCCCGCCAAAAAACACAAAAAGAAAACAAAAGAAATGCAAAACAACGCCCTGTTTGTATTTCCCCTCCCCCCGGGGGGGAAACACACACACACACACACACTCTTTTGCTCCCCCCCCAAAAAAAAATTAAAAAAGGAAAGAAAGAAACAAACAAACAATCGGCCTGTTTTGCTTTTGCCCCCCCCCCCCCACACACAAAAAAAAAGAAGAAGAGCAAAAACGAATAGCCTTTTTTCTTTTGCCCCCCTCCCCCCCCCCCCCCGATGAAAAAACACCCGAAATGCCAGGCAACCCCTTCCCAGCTCATTGCGCACCCCGAGCTCTTCTTCCCCAGCTCCGAGTCCTCCATCTCCGCGCCTGGGGTCTATGGCACCGGTGGCTTCAGGCGTTGGTGGAGAGGTTGGGATCGAGGGTTAAGTAACTTACAGGAGTTGGTGGGGAAACTGGTGGAGTTGGTCTCAAGAAAAAAGAAAAAACAACACTAGCTGACAGGAACATCTACAGGAAATGGCCCCAGAATACCCTGATTTAGCTGGTTTCTGGTAGAATGTCCTGTATTGATGATCTCTGTAGTTGTTTCAACTCATTTTCCTCCAGGGACCATTTTGCAAAGGGGGTCCGTGTTCATTGTTTCAACCACCTCCGTTCGGTTCCCAACAGCACTGACGCTCAAAGGGTTTGGTTGCAGGAAAATCTACAGGGAATGGCCCCAAAACACCCTAATTTTGGTGCTTTCACGTAGAATGTCCTGTAATCCAACCCTTTGAAGATCAAGTCAGGTATTGGTGGGGGCTGGTGTCTGGAATCCGAAGACCATAGCCCAGACAAGGAGTGTGGGTGGCTTTTTTTTTTTCCGGCTGTTGGTACCCCTTTTTGGGGGGCTTGCAAGGGAAACCAACGGGAAAGCACCATTCTTGGGGTCCAACAAAAAAAAACGACACACCTGTATTGACCTATAGCACGTACCGCTTGCCTTGGCCTCTTGGTTTGGTCTTTTTATCCGATGCATTCTCACTCGCTACCTGGATCTTTGGGATCCGTGGGCTCCGATTTTGCGCCATGTGCTCACTCCCTGAGTTCCTGGGCTTGAAAAACTTTCTGGGAAGGCGATTTTGGTGGGAAACAGAAAAAATGACTTTTGTTGGCCAATCCACTCGGTCGGAAGTGAGATTTGAGTTCAATTGTAGTGTCGTTTTGATTCATTGATATACCTTCGAACTTCCTTCCGGGCAGGTCATGTATTTTAGGACTCGCAAACCGGCAGTCGCCGCGCTTCACGTCGCTCTGCTTGTTCAGGGCTAGAGCTGGGGCTTGGTGGCTGACCTCAGTGGCAGGCCGCCCCAGCCCCCAGCCTCCAGCCCCCCCCCCAGCCCCCGTTGTGCCGCCGTTGCTCATCGCAACAGGTGGGTTTAGGAGCGCGCGGTCATGCCATGTGGAGGTCTGAGAACCTGTTTTCCACTTGTGGCATTTTTTTAGCAAGCCACAACATAGTGAGTAAATCGCGAACCTGCAGGTGCGTGCAAATGTGGTTGTAGGGCTGCGCGTTTTTGTTGCATCTTTGTGTCTCTGCTCTTCGTCTCTGTGTTGTTGCCTTTGTGCATTCATTATATATCTGTATATATTCATACACGTATATACATACACATATATATATATAGGCATACAAATATATATGTATATAGATATGTATGTGTATATATATATACATACATATATATATATATATATATATATATTCGTATGCGGTTCTGTGTGCGTGCGTAAAGTCAAGTGGATTCCCTGCAAGCAACGACCAAACAAAGGTCGGAAGCGCATTGACTACTCTTGGCCAGCTCGAAAATCCGGCTTCTTCAGAAGCCATTGTTGTGTTTTTTATACGACAACACTAAAATAGCCAATTCCTTTTTTGTCATCTTGCGGGCTTCTCGCTTCCCATATCCTCATCCTTGCTTGTTCACAGGTAATTACTCTCACAGTGATCAGGGCATCAGCCCAATGGCCTTGTGGTTTCCAGCTGTCGCGGCTGAGGCAAGCTCTTACACCAGCAGCGAGGGCCCCTCCAGCCTCAGGCAGAAGCCGCTGCTTTGGCCGCGCTGTTGGTTTTGCAGGTCCACAGGAGTGCCGGTTTACCTCTATTTTTTTTTGCGCTTTTGGAACCCTACTAAAATAGACTACAGAAGAAGAACAAATGATACCCTTATATTCTAACCTCTCTACTGGAAAACCTAGTTTTGCAGGGCGGGGGAGAAGCCTAGGAATCACTGACCAGAACCATATGGTGCCAAAGTGATATGGGCCGGAGGCTCGGATGGCTTTTCGTCGGTAAGACAGACACGGCAAGAAACCAACCCTAATCTTCGAGCACCAGCATGGAGATGGGCCAACAGCTCACGGGATTGCCCTAACCAAATATGTATATATATATATATGTATATATTTATATATATATATACAAATATGTATCTATATAGCTATATACACACATATCCGCCCTTTTGATTCTGTGAGGGCTTAGTTTTTTTTTGGGGGGGAACCAAATTTGGTGGGTTTCCTCTCATGGTTTCTCTTCAATCCACTCCCCAAAAGGCTACTCTCTCGAAAAAAACAAACCCATATCTTCGCTGTTCTTGGCATGGGTTTAGTTTTAGTTGTTTAGTTGTTTGGATCTGTTCATTTTCCGGCGGCCGCACAACACCTTTGGCTTGCTCCTCACATGCGAAGGGTTGGAAAGACATGGGCGAGGGGGACTCAAGGAAAGATGTCGGTGTTTCTTTGTGTGATTGCCGTAGAATAAGAACCACCCGCCTAAAAATCGCGCTGGGGATGTCTCCTCAAAGACGACTTTCCTCTTGGCAAGGTCAGTTGGAGGGTACCCGCGCCCCTTTTGCCAGGCCCCGGGCACAGCAGCTGGCCTTTCTCCGCAGCTTCCGCGTGGACGTGCGCCTCAGGGCCCGCGCGGCCTTCGGCGCCTGGAGATCCGCGGCGGGGCTCCGGCGGCAGAAGGCCGCGACTCGGAGTGCACGAGCGGAGTGCGGGAAGCCCCCGGGGCCCCAAATCTCAAGAAAGGTATGGGTTTCGTTACGGATGCGTAAGTATGCAACAACATAAGCTCGTAAAAGCCCTCTGACTACAAAAAGTTGAGGGTTCTAGAGTATTTTGGTTCCCTGGCGCGTTGATTTAGTGCTTGTTGCTTTCTTTGGGAGCTTCACTTGGCATTGCCCAGCTTGGTATGTGTCATTATCATTTCTCCTGGCTGAATGGGCCGGAAGGAGCTGTAGGCAAAGGAAGCCAAATATTTGCCGGATGGGGTGAATGGGGACCGGAGAACTCGATTGTCCTTGTTATGATTTTAGTTTATATCCTCAGTTGTACGAGGAACCCTCAACACTTGTCAGGTTCTCACAGGAAAGGTTGACGCCTAAGCCTTGTGCCATGGTTGCTGGGTTGTCCAAAGCGAACTGACCTGAAAGGACCTTTTGGTTTTCCATTTTTGGCAACCGTCTTTAGTCAAGGTCCCAAACGTGATCACCTTTTATGTCCAGGTCCAACTGGGCAAGCCTGTAGTAACTCGGGGCCACCAAAATACATGAAATTTCCGCATTCAATCGTTCTGAGGTGGGCATGAGGGCAGTTTTTCCCCCAGTATATCAGTGGTTGTAGCCTTCATACCTCCGAATCCGTGAATCCGTGCCTGATGCTCGAGCAATGCCCCCCCCTGGGCTTGAATCTTTCAAGATACTTCTTAAGTGGGAGAGACTGCCAGCAATAACAGGCCCCCAAGCGTTGGCAAAAAAAAGGGGCTCGCGGGCGAAAACGAAAGCACTGACTCAGGCGCATGTTGTTTCAGCTTCGCTTCGTCTGGGCCATTTTTTTCGCGCAGGGCTGCAGGAGGGCTGGAGAGCCGAGGGTCGATGTTGGAGGAGTTTGGGCTGTGAACCCTTCGTTGGGGAAAAGTTTTTTTTGTTTTTTTGTTTGACCCCCTTGAAGCGGAGATAGACGCCCAGACTCAAGCAGGGCCTCGCGTTGTTCAGTTCTTTCGGATCTGAATATGTTGTTCTTTTCGTCCGAGCGGAGTGAATGGCAGTGACCAATGGCATGCAGCCTAAAACGTTGTAGGCCTGATTCGCTCCTGCGCCCGGCTTGTTTAACCCGAAGCGTCGTTTTACGGCGGCCACCATGAAGCGACTTTGCTGCTTCAATCGTTGGGCAAGATTCAAGGGGGAACGCCAAACCAAGCTTGGGGAGGTCTTGGGTAAAAATGGGCTAGGAAGGCTAAGTCGACAGTATTCAAGGGTTTGCTAGAGCCAGCTTAGGGAGGTCGGGAAAAGTTGGCTAGTTCCAGACCCTAGGAACGGTAAGGAGCGGATATAAGAGTCCCAAAGCGGGGGGGGGGGGATAACCATTTCATAATGTTTTCAACAATGGAACTGAAGGGGGGGCCTTCTTCAAGGAAAGCGTTTGTCTTCCAAAACCATACAGTCAGATTACAGCGGGTTTACTGGGGTCATGATTTTGAAAGTCCATTCTCGATCCCCCCAGTAGTGCCCTGTTACCCTTTTTTGGGGCGGGTTCCCCTACTAAAATAGACTACAGACAGAAAACAAATCGGGTATCCTTATTCTAACCTCTCAAATCTGGAGGACCTAGCATTGATTGTTTCCCTACCTGCAAAAAAGCAAATGAAACGTGACTTCTGTGTTGGCAAAATCAAAAGGGGCCAGGTTCAGTAGCTGATCCTGGTTTCGTTTCGCTGTCGGCACCTTGGCAATGGCGTCATATCTAGAGCCTAATGTCGATGGTTTTTGCTGCAAAAGAAGGGGCCTTTCCATGTCTATTCGGCACTCCTTTATCCTTGGTCACAAAACAGAGCCACGTTTGCAACAAAGTTGGTGTGTGTTGTTTAGGGGGTGCCCAAAATGGCTTTGGTTTTCACAAAAAGGGGGGTACCCTCAAAACAAGACACAGCCAGTGGCTCCCAACTCGGGATGACAGAGGTCCAGCTTGGAAGCTTCACCCACGCGGGGGGGTAGCCGAAGCAAGCCCGAATTGACCGTAGCAACCCACCCGGTGCTAAGGTCATGCTGGATGTGGTGGACGGCTGGCAAAAAACCTCTCAAGGTTTGTCCGCAAGGCTTCTGTTTTCAACCTGGCGTGCAACGACTAGGCGACGCAAGCAGCTGGAGTGTGCGGCAAGATGTTTGCAACACCGCGCTGCCTCCAACATGCTGCGCTTTGTCGTTCTGCAGTGGTTTGCAGCCTGCCGACTTGTGGGCTGGAGAAGAATGTTTGCACAACATTTGAGCCGGCGTGACCTCCACAGCATTTGGGGCTTCTGGGTCTTGGCATGTTCCATATCAAAGGCGGAACGCTCACAGCTGGCAGCGTTGGACAGACAGGTTGGTTACCTGCACAAGGCCCAAACACAGGCCGAGCGCTTGTCGGAACAGCCCTTGCACGAGGCTGAGACTGCCATGCTTGCGCTGGTTCGCTGGAAAGCCTTTTGCCAGCAGGGGCGGGCAAGTCGAACCATTGATGAGCTGAAGCAAGCCTTGCTGAACACGGAGTCCCACGCGAAGGTCATGCTGGGCGATGCAATGGATGACTGGCAGAAAACCTCTCAAGGTTTGTCCGCAAGGCTTCTGTTTTCAACCTGGCGTGCAATGACTAGGCGCCGCAAGCAGCTGGAGTGTGCAGCAAGATGTCTGCAACACCGCGCTGCCTCCAACATGCTGCGCTTTGTCGTTCTGCAGTGGTGTGCAGCCTGCCGCCTTGTGGGCGGCAGACGAATGTTTGCACAACATTTGAGCCGGCGTGACCTCCACAGCATTTGGGGCTTCTGGGTCTTGGCATGTTCCATATCAAAGGCGGAACGCTCACAGCTGGCAGCGTTGGACAGACAGGTTGGTTACATGCACAAGGCCCAAACACAGGCCGAGCGCTTGTCGGAACAGCCCTTGCACGAGGCTGAGACTGCCATGCTTGCCCTGGTTCGCTGGAAAGCCTTTCGCCAGCAGGGGCGGGCAAGTCGAACCATTGATGAGCTGAAGCAAGCCTTGCTGAACACGGAGTCCCACGCGAAGGTCATGCTGGGCGATGCAATGGATGACTGGCAGAAAACCTCTCAAGGTTTGTCCGCAAGGCTTCTGTTTTCAACCTGGCGTGCAACGACTAGGCGACGCAAGCAGCTGGAGTGTGCAGCAAGATGTCTGCAACACCGCGCTGCCTCCAACATGCTGCGCTTTGTCGTTCTGCAGTGGTGTGCAGCCTGCCGACTTGTGGGCGGCAGAAGAATGTTTGCACAACATTTGAGCCGGCGTGACCTCCACAGCATTTGGGGCTTCTGGGTCTTGGCATGTTCCATTTCAAAGGCGGATCGCTCACAGCTGGCAGCGTTGGACAGACAGGTTGGTTACATGCACAAGGCCCAAACACAGGCCGAGCGCTTGTCGGAACAGCCCTTGCACGAGGCTGAGACTGCCATGCTTGCCCTGGTTCGCTGGAAAGCCTTTTGCCAGCAGGGGCGGGCAAGTCGAACCATTGATGAGCTGAAGCAAGCCTTGCTGAACACGGAGTCCCACGCGAAGGTCATGCTGGGCGATGCAATGGATGACTGGCAGAAAACCTCTCAAGGTTTGTCCGCAAGGCTTCTGTTTTCAACCTGGCGTGCAATGACTAGGCAACGCAAGCAGCTGGAGTATGCAGCAAGATGTCTGCAACACCGCGCTGCCTCCAACATGCTGCGCTTTGTCGTTCTGCAGTGGTGTGCAGCCTGCCGACTTGTGGGCGGCAGAAGAATGTTTGCACAACATTTGAGCCGGCGTGACCTCCACAGCATTTGGGTCTTCTGGGTGTTGGCGTGTTCCATTTCAAAGGCGGAATGCTCGCAG